AGCCGACAAACAGCTGATCAGCTGTTTGTCCGCTCAGCGCGCTAGTCTGGACGCTCCCCTGCCGACATCGAAGCCCTTTGTCGGCAGCCCCGTTATTCCTCGTGGGATGAGGTTTACCGGCCCCGGGTGTGCCGCGTGTGCCGGTGCCGACCCTGGCCCTGGCCCTAGCCCTGGCCCTGGCCCTGGGCCTGGGCCTGGGCCTGGGTCAGGCCCCGGGGGCGCGGAACCTGGGCAGCCCCTGCCCGGGATCGCGGCACATGCCGGTGCCGACCTCGGGCGTGTGGCGCATGCTTGGCACCACCCCCGGGCGCACAGCGCGTGAGCAGCCCCGCCCCCCAGGCGCCCGGCAGCCCCAAAACGTTGGGGACCACTGGTCTAGACAGTATTTGGTCCTGTCATGGGGGCAGTGGACTGGACTCAATGACCTCTCGAGGTCCCTTCCAGTCCTAGTATTCTATTAGCTTGATGTTTCAAAAATATTTGCGATTCTGACACTTTTTCAGTCTATTCACCTTAAATTGAGTCTATTCAGTCTATTTCAGTCTATTCACCTTAAACTTTTTTTAAATCTAATTTACTTACATTTTGAAAATATTCATGATGTAAGAATTTCACAATAGTTTGCTTCTATCGCAAGCTCATTTTCCTCCACACTAATTAGTTTAGCTTTCTAAACCCGAAGTTGTTTCAGAGAGAGACATTTCCTTTCGATAGTTCCAAACACATCTGCCTTAGAATTTTGTTCAGGTTGGGAAACTCCTTGAACCCAACCTGTTCTGAACACTTTCAGATTCATCGAAAGATTCCTGCTCAGCTTAACGGTCCATACTAGGAGCAAAGTAGAGGAAGTCCGGCTCAGCGAAGGACCCAAGAATCCTGAATTCTACCCTTGGCTGTGCCACTGCCCAGATGCATCACCTCCTCTCTCTGTTCTTCACTTTCCCCACTTACCTTCTACCTATTCAGGGCTTCGCAACATGCAATTTAACTAACATAATTGGTTAAAAAAAATCAAATGTGAAATTGACAAAAACAAGCTAGAACACCACTGAAATGGGACATGGGAAAACTGGGTTCTGTTCCCACCTCAGCACTATGCCTCGGTTTCCCTAACTGGATATAAGGTATAATGCTATTGAATTTTGAGAAGAACAATCAAAACACTGTAGCAATCACTACGTGGGCCAAGTGGGTCTGTCAAAAGCTGATAATTCACTAATTCTGTTTATACTGCTTATATGCATGTACCACTTTTGTATTTGAAGCTATGAGAATTGTCTCTGTATTTCAAATGTTTGCTTCTGGGAGTCATCAACAGGCTTTGCCCAGCTATTGTGAAAGGGTTGCTCTCAACCTCAGCACTTCACTGACAATGGGTCTTCAGTGGTGCCAATCCACAGCTGAGGAATTTTGCTGTGAAGGTTCAGACCAGCCCATGAGCGATGGCTGCTCAGGCCTGAGTCAGGCATGGACAGTGACTGGCTCACGTGACAAACTCCATTGCGGGAGGTGCTTTCACACCAGGAGAGCAGTGGGATTCCCTCCGCGTGGGCAAGGGTAGAATGAAGGTCCTGGGGGCTCCTCCAGCTTTGTCTTCACTCCAGCTCATCCCCGCAGGGGCAGCTTTGCTATGAGTGCTGATAATCCACACTAGCAGAGGACGTATCCCAGAGATTTACAGACAGCAGTTTATTCCATCTCTGCTGCAGGCCTGCACCAGGAACTTAATAATTAGCGTGTGTAATCTGTTACCTTTAGCAATTTTACTCTCGACCTTTTCTTTCTTTTATTAAACTTTCAGATGTTCGATTCTAAAGGTTTGGCGCAGTGTGCTCTTTTGGTAAGATCTAATGTATAACTGGGAATGTGGCTTGACCTTAGAGATCAGGAGAATCTGTTCTATACAATGAGTGGTGCTGGTTGTGGCACCGGAAAAGCTGGAGTGTCTAAGGGAATTACTTGTGTAACTTCTTGCTGGCCAGTGTGGCAAACAGAAGAGCTCTTTGTGACTGGTTTGGTGCCTTCGAGAGGAGGACTCCCAGTCTTGGGCTGTAAGTAGCCCTGTGTTTAAGCAATTTGCCCTGATTTGATGTCTCAGCAGTGCCCCTAGAAACCTGTTATATTACATAAGGATACTGCTTTCCTGGGGAAAGCATTCGGAGATCCATTGCTAAAAAGGGCTAGATTAGTGCTAATGTCTATTGTTATATGAACTAGAAACACTCAAATTCCTTCAGGGAAGCATCGTCCAGGTCAGAAGAGATACCACAATCTCTCCCGGCTTTGGGTTCTAACCATCCGGATTCACCTGAGGGTCAGGACAATTTCACTAAAATCTCCTCTCTCTCCTCCTTTAATGCACTCGATGTAGAGGCGGGGGAAGGGGGGAGAGAACCGTGGGGTATGGGGAAGGCAGACTCTCACCATGTGTCTGTGCAGTGCCCAGCACCATGGGGCTCCGATCCTGGATTGGGATGGTGGAGATTGCTGTAACACAATAACAGTCAGAGTTTGCACCACTGGAACACCCACAAGCTGGCTTTAAGTGGTCAGGAAAGGGTCACATGGCCTTTCCCCTCTAAGGGGCACTGGCTCCCCCTCAGCCAAAGGGCAGGGACCAGCTAGCTCAGCGGAGTGGGGGACAGTTATGGGACATCAGGCCTTTCCGCTTTAGAGGTTGCTGGAAGACACCACCTGACCCCCTAAGACAGCTCATGCCCTGAAGCATGGAAGTGGATGGCTAACCTGGGGTCCTCATGGACTGATACATTACAAGTATTTGAATACTACACATATTGCCTTGAGTCGCAGTTATCAGCTACCAGGGCCATTTTGCATAAGCCTGAGCGAGCTACATCTCAGGGACTGCTGTACCAAGTCAGACCATCCAGCTTCACTCCCCAGCTCATCCCCTGGCCTGCTGGGTCAGACCCTGGGGCCCATCTAGTCTGGTATCCTGGCTTGTCGCCTGGAATCCTGGCTTGTCGCCTGGCTGAGACCCCTGGGCCCATCTAACCTGGTCTGCTACAGTACAAACCACTCTACTGCAAGCCAGAGACAGCCAGAGCATGTCTCAATCCATTGCAGGCAGTGAGCTGCCATTTCAACAGACATCACCACTCAGCCCTGCAGTGCAAAAGCTCCTCCCACCATTCATAGCCCCGCCCCCAGTGTAAAATAGCCCCAACCCTGGTGTAAAGCTCCTCCCACCCATCCAAGCCCTGCCCCGGGCTCCTCCCAGCAGCCTGGCTCACACTCACCCTTCTTCCTTTTCCGGCCTGGCCGGCCACGCTTGAGTTTCTTGACGCGCCCTGAGCTGTCAGACCGCACCGAGGAGCTGTGGACACTGGAGTTGTCAATATCGGACTCTTCCTCCATCTCGCCCACTTCCTCGCTCTGAAAGACATGCTGTACATAACCATAGCGGCCCTTGTTAGGCAGGGCTCATCCAGAGGCGCACAATGGGGGAAGGGACAGGGACAAGTGCTGGGTAAGATGGTGTCGGACACCCTCCCCCCGAGCCTAGCACAAGGGAACATCGCCAGGACCAAAGATGCAGACGTTCACACTTGCAGTCAGGCCTCGAAGCGGGGAACATCCCAGTAAGCACGCCCCCACAGTTGCACATGTGGCTCTGGATTGGAGAGGAGGCATCGCCCCAGGGCCACCTGGGACAGGTCGTAACCATGCCCCATTACTGCAAATAGTCAGGCACCATGTCCCCTGGTTCCTCACACCCTGGAGTCTTTCCCCAGCCACCTGGGTCAGAGCTCATCCATTCTGTGGGGAATCAGGGGGAAGGCTCTGTGTGGGTTTGCCTTCACCTCCCATTGGGTCAGCTAGCCCAAGCTTAAAGCCCAGAGGGCCAGGACATGGCTAAGGCTGAGAGACCAGGTTAAATGTACAGAGCAAATGTCCTATGTCTGTACTGCCACAGCAACGAGACCTGGAGCCAAGGCTTGCGCTATGGAGCTAAGAACCAGCCATGTCAATGTTCCCACGTGAGCTCTGAATCCTGGCGACAGGGAGGGGCTCAGAGCCTCGCTCCAGCCCAGTAGGGAAGAGGAGGAGGGGGGGGTCACACTACTGCTGCGAGCCTGAAATCTAGATGGGAGAGAGTGAAAGTGTTTTGTCTGAATACTGTTTGTGTGCCTCAGTTTCCCTTTATGTGTTACTCAAATATCTAGATGGTGTAACGTGAACAGAGAGCAAGTGTGAAAAATTGGAAAAGGGGTTAATAGGTACCGACATAAGACCAAGCTCTGAATATCAGACCTGGTTCTATAAAATCACCCTAAGGTGCAAGACAAGGGTTGCAGAGAACTCTGTGACTCTGGATCCACACCCCCGATGGTTTGGCTGGATGTTCCTGACTTCAGTGCTAACAAGCTCTGTGTCCCCAATGACTAATAAACCCTCCTGTGTCCCTCGCTGGCTGAGACAGACGGCTGGCTGCGGAGTTGGAGTTCAGGTCCTCTGGGAGCACGTAAGCTGAATGCCTCAAGGAGCTGTGGAAGCCAAGCAGGCCGGCCTGAGGCGCACTGCAACAAGAGTCCTGCCTGCCTTCATTCCCTGAGACAATGACTCTGTGACACCAGGTTACTGCCTTGAAAAACCCTCTGCCCTGAGTTTCGGAGCCTGGCTCAACTGACTCACGCTGTGGGACTGAAAATCACAGCGTAGATGTCTGGGCTGGAGCTCGGGGCTGCAAGACCCTCTCCCCTCATGGTGCCTCTCAGAGCCCCGGGCTCCAGTCCCAGACTGAACATCTACCTTGCAATGTTTAGCCCTTCGGCCCAAGCCCCAGACAGCAGAGCCAACTGGGGGTCCTTCACTGCAGCTCTGCTGTCACTGAGGGGTGAACTGAGTCACCACCCATCGCCCGATCCATTCACACACCCCTTGAAGCCTGCTGCAGGCCAGCCACGCGCCAGCAGTGGGCAGCTGGTCCTGGGACAGCCTCCCTCTGCCTGACTTTGCTGGGGGGGAGGGGCAACTCGGGTTCCCCCAAAACTAGTTAGCTCGACAAGGCACGTGCCACATCCTGCCTGTGCACCATTGGGAACTTGCATCCACTCAGGCGCATGGTGTAGACATGGCCTCAAAATGGGGCTCAGTGAGGGGGCTCAAGGCTCCAGGGGGGAGAGCCAGGGAAGGAGAATTGCCAGAAAACACCAGTGTAGGAGAGTTTCCAGAAGGAAGGAGCTAGCAAAACAGGATCATGTGGGGAAACTGAGGCAGACATACAATGGCAGTACTGCTCCAGGCCAAGAGGAGAAGGCCCTTATTATATTCCTGCTCTTCAGCGAGGACCAGTGACAAACTACTCAACTGCCAATAGTCCTCCAATGTCTTCCCACAGTTCCACCAAAAGGGCAGATGTGTTCTCCCAATTCTAGAGCAGTCTGACTCACAGCTATTCTCCCTCATGCCAGATGGCAACTAATTGCTAAGGTCCCTCATCCCGCACTGCCAGTCCCATGAGCTTGGTTTTCAGAAGTCAGAAGACTGCACAGGATACCATGAAGCAAGCAACTTCACAGCCATTGGGGGCACACTGAGCAGCCAAAGCAAAGACCTGGAGGCTATGTCTGCACACCACGCTCTGATTCTGATTTAAGGGAAGGGCTCCCATTCTGTCCACACACAAATCTTCCTGAGCTCTCGGTACTTAGGACCCTGCTGGCCATGGGAAGGAGCCCTGAGTCTCAGCCTGGTTATTTTGCAGCATGGACACATCTCAAGATGCAGACCCGAGTCAGATGGCCTGTGTGGTGTAACGCAGATGTCAGCACAGCCGGGAGACTGGGGTCCAGCCACCATAAGCCCAGATGCACTGTTCAGAGTGGATGTAACCCTAACAGACCTTTGGGACTGCACTGTCTCTCCTCCCTGCTCCAACCTCTTCCCTCTGAATTGCTGCCTCCTCTCCTATCAAACTCCGTTTCCAATATCAGGAACAAGCCATTCGCCTTCCGACACCCATCATTCCTCGACGCCTGCCGCAGGTCCATCAGGGCAGTTAGGATGGCCGGCTCTTGTGGGTGCGGGTGAGTGAACTGAACGGCCCCCACACCACAATTAACTGAGATCAGGTGGGTTTGTGGAGATCACTCTCTGGGCAGCACCAGACAGAAGGTTGGGTGAGAAAATCGTGGTGGATTCCATCCCATATCCAGGTGGTTGTGGCCTCACTCCAAGACAGCCCTGGGCTGAAAGTGTCCAATAGCGTCTGCAGTTGGTCGCTACCTCGCCTTCTGGCATTTGGGGTCATTCTCTAGTTTTAGCTTCCCGACGGGGCCCCAACAGCAAGTCACCAGCCCTCTCTGCCCTCTTTTCCCTGTCATCACAAGGGGAATTCTTCCCTTCATCAGGGCTTCTGCCCTCCCTCAATACTGGGCAGAAAGCAGGCTTGCTATCGCTAGAAGGGCCCTTTTGCCTGCAAATGTTTCACTTCCTTCCAGAACGTGCCCATCTACAGGTGACGGCTGAGCCAAAACCAGGACTAGTTGAAGCTACACCGGGTGCTGGATAATATCTAAGTCCAGGTCAAATGACCTGGCTTACTTCTCTTAAGCCAGAAGGGAAGTGCTCAACTTTCATTGACCACTTCCAAATACTTGTCTCTTCCTCATGTTCCCCAACTTGCATGGCGGCTTATTTTCCTCCTAACATCGTCCAGCACGCATCTGGGATCTCGTTTAAACATGCCTTCCAAGTTCAAGTCAGGGGCCAGCCACCATGATTGTGATTAAGAACATCGTTAGTGGTTCTCTCTACAATCAGGAGAGCTAGATACTCAGAAAGGGTGTGTGTGTGAGAGAGAGAATGGGTGTGTATCTGTCCTAATCCAGGCCCTGCCATCATGGGGACTTCAGACTTCTCTCCTCTGCTAGTTCAGCCTTCTGCAGAAACAAAGCTCCATGCGGTAGCTGAGAGACACTGACTGGCCTCTGCTAGGACACCACAACAGATGACCTAACAGCCCCTTCTGGCTTTAAACTGTGAAATTACAATGCGCCAGCTGCAGCCATATGGGAGGGGAAAAAACCCAGCAGCTTTTGTGAGAGAGTGACACAGCACCTCCCTCCTGCTCTCCCAGACCCTCCCCTCCCCCTGCACACACGGCCCAAAGGATCGTGGCCAGGAAGAAGCGTGGCTTACCGAGCTACTCTTCTTGCGCTTGCCTCCGATCATGCCCAGCTTGATCTTCAGCGGAGCCATCCTCTTCCCTTTCATCTTCCTCTTCATCTCCGGCACACGAGGGCTCTTGCTCCGCCTTTTGTGACCCGGCCCTTTGGTCAAAGGATGCTAGATCAGTCAATGGTTTCCAAATCCACCTTTTAGACAGGCAGGGCTAGCCTCTTGTCCCAGAAGGAGAAACTGAGGCACGAGACAGGGACTTGCCTGTGGTTACATTGCAAGTAGCTGGGGAGAGAATCCAGGGGTGTGTCTAGACTACATGCCTCCGTCGACGGAGGCATGTAGATTAGCCAGATCGGCGGAGGGAAATGAAGCCGCGATTATTTTAATCGCGGCTTCATTTCCCTCCGCCGATCTGGCTAATCTACATGCCTCCGTCGACGGAGGCATGTAGATTAGCCAGATCGGCGGAGGGAAATGAAGCCGCGATTATTTTAATCGCGGCTTCATTTCCCTCCGCCGATCTGGCTAATCTACATGCCTCCGTCGACGGAGGCATGTAGTCTAGACACACCCCAGGAGTCCTGGCTCCCAGCCCCTCTGCTCTAACCCACCAGCCCCCACTCCTGTCCCAGAGCAGGGGAGAGAACTGAAGAGTCCAGATGGAAGGGGAGGGGAAGTGAGACACAGGGTGAGGGGTAACTACTGATGAAGGTCATGGGGGGCACCAGCCACGTGATACCCCCTCACGAGTCCTTACTCTGGGGGAAAGCTGGGACACTTCCCTCTCGACCCTGTCCCACCTTCTCCCCAGCTCTTCCCCCAAGCGACACTGCCTGGGGATTAGTGGACCTGGGGGTCTGGCATGGCAGCAGGGATCAGGCCCCAGCCTGCTCTCCTTCCCCGACTCCTGACTGTGTCACTTCGCTTCCCGTCAGTGAGTGCGGGGTTGGTCCTGTCCCCTCCCAAGTGATGCTGGGGGAGCAGAGTGGGCTGGGGCCTGGGTAACTCTGCTTCCTGCAACCAGAGAGTACAAGGGCCAAACTGGGGCCTGAAGAGGAGTGGGGGCAGCGATGGGAAAAGGTGTTATAAGCGATTAATGCATGCAGCAACTTGCAGACAATTCTCAAAGTCTAAACATTCTTATCATTCTAACACGCATTTTGATAACACAAACACACAGGTGAGGCAGACAGTTTCCAGCTATGTATTTCTCAGTGCTTAGTTGATGTATGGCAGGCTTGGTTTGAACTGGCACTGTGTATGCCAGCGTCGCAATATAGGACATGTATATAAATGTATCTAAGGCCCGGCCCATAATGAGCACAATTTATTATATCCCCATTGATATTGGCCTTTTCTCTCCTGGCCCTGATGCATCACGGGAATTATAGCTGCAGGTGTCTCATGCAACCATTGACCCGGAATCTAGGTCACTAAAGTACAGACTCCGTATCCCATGATGTACCATGGTCTTGGAGATGCAGTGCCTCCTGGTAATCCCTGGTCCCAGTGCATCATGGGAGACAGTCCAACATGCCCCCCCGACTTCTCTCAAGTACCCCTAAGGGTACTTGTACCACTTGTTGGGAAACACTGCTTTAGGCAACACTTGGATCCCGGAATGCTGTCTAGCTTTGGATTATAAATGATGCACCCACTGCAGAGGCTGTGTTAATTCTTTCTCCAGCTCACAATTGGCTAGCACAACATGTAGTCCTCTCCTAACTCCCGCCACTTGGCTCCAAGGATGGTCATCATCTTGGACATGGGGATCTTGGGGTTCTTTTTGGCAATGAGAGGCCTGCGCAACAGGAGACAAAACCCCAGGGGAGGGTCTGAGCACAGTGTGGTGGAAGAACCCCTCCCCATCGAAGTGCCTCCCTCACCTGACTGGCGACAAGCAACTGCATGCTTCAGCCCGCCACTGCCCGCCACTTGGCTCCAAGGATGGTCATCATCTTGGACATGGGGATCTTGGGGTTCTTTTTGGCAATGAGAGGCCTGCGCAACAGGAGACAAAACCCCAGGGGAGGGTCTGAGCACAGTGTGGTGGAAGAACCCCTCCCCATCGAAGTGCCTCCCTCACCTGACTGGCGACAAGCAACTGCATGCTTCAGCCCGCCACTGCTCCAAGCACTGTCATTCCCAGCCACCAATCTCCTGAGTTCCTGTCTAGTTCAAGACCCCTGCTCTGCCCAGGTCCCGCCCACATGCCAACCTTTTCCCCAAGACCAGGTCTGGGCAAAACACAGCCCGCCAAGCCACCGGATCCGGCCCATGGATGCTGCAAGGAGACCCAGGCAGGCTCCCCACTTGCCTCGCCCCACCCGCATGCCACTGAGAGACGAAGCTGCAGAACAGCTTCACATTAAAAACTAAAAGGGGAGGGGGGGGGGGGATAGGACTTTAGGAGCTGCTCCCTCTCCCAGCACAACCCTACTGGTCGGCTTCTGGACAGAAACTGGCCAATGGGAGCTGCCAGTTTCAATAACAGGCAGCTCCTAGTTATTCACAGAGCACATGACTGCAGCCTGTGTGGGGGTGGGGCAGGCAGGGAGGCTGATTTTTAAGTCTTCTAACCAAACTCTGCCTCTGGCACCCGAGCCTCCCCATTCTGCAACCCTCTGCCTCCCCACTCCTGCCCCCTACTCCACATACCCAAATTTTCTGCCTCCCTCCTGTACCCATACCCTCTCCCAGATCTGGCACCCCAGTTCCCTGACCCAGATTACAGTCCCCTCCTGCCCTAGCTCACAACCCAAACATCTGCATCCCCTCCTGTGCCCAAATTTCCTGCCCTAGGTTACAGTATAATCCCTTGCACCTTAGTCCAGTGCCCTAGATCACAAATGCCTCTTTCACCCAAACTCCCTCCCTAACCCCAAGCTCCCATCTGCACCCAACCTCTATCCCAGACCCCACTCCTCCTCCATTAATATCATGTAAGAGTGCGGTCCTTGACCACTTTCCAAATTCTTGGAGTGGCCCATCAAAAAGTATTGCCTACGACCCTGCCCTGCCTTTCCCCACCCACCACCTCTTTCCACCCCTGCTCTGCTTCCAGCCTGCCTCTTCCCATCCTTGCTCTGCTTCAGGCCCCGCCCACATGCCAACCTTTTCCCAAGACCCTGCCTCACCTCTTCCTGCCCCCACCCCACCTCTTCCTGCCCAGCCCCCGGCCCACCTCTTCCTGCCCCTGCCCTGCTACTTTCCAGCCTTGCTCTGCCACTTACCACCCCACCACTTCCTGCCTCTGCCCCACCTCTTCTCACTTCTCCTCCACCCTGTTTCTTTGTGCCCCCCTGCTCCTTTTCTTTCTGGCCCTGATTCATCCCCACCCACCTCTTCCCGCCCCCATCTTACCTGCCCTGCTTCTTCCCAACCCTGCTCTTCATGGCCCACCTCTGCTCTGTCCCTGCCCCACCACTTCCCTGCCCTGCCTCAGCCCCACCTCACTTCTGCTCTCCCCTACCCCACCTCTTCCTGTTCCCACTCTGCCCACCTCACTCCATTTCTTTCCACACCATTCCACTCCCTCCCCATCAGCATCTCCTGCACTCACACTGGGGGAGAGAAGGCAGAGCTGATCAGCAGGGCTGCCAGTAGGTGCTGAACTCCCCGGTTTTTTGCATGCCAGCACAGAATTGGGTTCAGGCTCTCTGCAGACTCAGGCTGCCTCAGATAAACTGCGGCCTGAAGCAAGTGTTTTCTGGACCACCATAAAAGCACCAGACTTGGGTTTTGCAGATTTGGAAGTGCCACTGATTTACAGAAGGGTGAGAGGAGAAAAAAAAACCCTGAGCATTCAATTCCTCCCTCTCTCTCTTCCCCCGGCATAAACCTGCCAGTGGCTCCACTGAAGCCAAGGAAGACTGAATCTAACCTGACAACAGCTTTAGACTGGTTTTCTTATGGAAAGTCACACTGCCGTTCTACCACACTGACTGGGCTGAACACACAAAACACGGGTGCACATTCTGCAGCGTAGGGTTCAAAAAAGAGCTAGATGAATTCATGGAGGATCGGTTAATCAATGGCCATTAGCCAGGCTGGGTAGGGAGGATGTTCCTAGCTCCATTTGTCGGAAAGGGCGACAGGGGCTGGATCACTTGATGATTCCCTGTTTTGTTCATTTCCACTGGAGCACCTGTTATTGGCCGCTGTAGGCAAGATGGACCTTTGGTATGACCAGTCTGGCCATTCTTATGATCTTATAAGAAAAGCGGTAGTGCAGCCAGAACACACAGCATCAATCACCCATAGAATAATATTTTATCCAAGCAAGCACATCTGCACGTGCTGCCCCTTTGCTCCCTAGACCCCCTCCCTGGCGAAGCAAGTTGCAGCGTTTCCTGTCACTCGCCAGCAAAACAACAAGTGCCAAATGCCTTATGATATGTCTGTGTTCAACGACTTAAAAGAGCAGCCAGCACCTGCACCGATATTGATCTGCTTTAGGACACACCTTGCTCACGGCAGCATTCACTTTAGAGCGCTGGGAAACTCAGTACTTAGAACTCCAGATTCCCAGGCAAGCAGACACATTACTAACCACCAGATCTTGTAGCACACTATTGCGTCAGCTGCAGAGTTGTATCACAATGGAACCCAGACACCACAAAGTGCACTGGGAGCCCAACTGGGCCAGGTGAGAAATGATTGGTAAGAGAACATAGCCGCCTGGTCCAGTCTATGGGGGACCACCTGGGATGCAGCACAGAGGGGTTCTAGACCCAGCTTGGCAACTTCAGGAGAAACTCTCTCCCACACTGTGCCTCAGTTTCCCCTCCCACCTCCATTTTTTGCTTATTTTGGTTGTAAGTGCTTTGGGTCAGAGATGGACTCTCACTTGCACTGTGGTGGCACCGATCTCAGGAGGGTGGGGGAGAGCCCTGATCTCAGCTAAGAGGGGTCTGTACAGCACCCAGTACCCCAGGAGCCCTGATCTCACTCAAAAGGATCCATGAAGTGCTCAGCACAACATAGAAGAAGGCTGCACCACAAGATGCTCTTTATTTTCTTCCGTTGACAAGTGTCTTTGAGTCTGAATTATTTACCATCCTGCCTCCTAATGCACCAGTTAAGTGGTATGAAACACATTAAGCAGAGGTAATGGAGGCTCCCTCCTTTGTGAAGCCCCAACAGAGAGATGGGTCAGCTATGAGAAAACACTGAATTCTTTAAAAACCTACTTGA